AGCAAAGCTACAACAAGTGGTTCTCCGACTTCAGAGCCTAAGGCTTTATCACCAACACAGCATGAAAGGAAACCTTTAAGGCCTTTGTCTCCATGGATCAGTGATATACTACTTGCCGCTCCCCTGGGTATAAGAAGTGACTATTTCCGATGGTAAGTAGACTGTGTTACTGTTGCTTCTATACGCTGGCCTCGTTCTTTTATTTTGGTCTCTGCTGAGGACTCTGTATTGAGGCTCTGTAGTGGGCTTAAGCTTACTTACAACTAAAACTGTTGCTTATATTTACAGGTGTAGTGGTGTAATGGGTAAATATGCTGCTGGAGAGCTCAAGCCGCCAACCATTGGTGAGTTCAGTAGAGTTGTTCTTTCATTTCGTTCATATATGTGTATCCCTCATCTGTGGGATCTGTGGCTATAGAATGCGTTTTTAGTTACTTATTTTAACTCTCACGTTGTCCTTCTATGGCAGCTTCTCGAGGATCTGGTAAACATCCTCAACTGATGCCTTCGACGCCAAGATGGGCAGTTGCTAATGGAGCTGGTGTCATACTGAGTGTTTGTGATGATGAAGTTGCTCGATATGAGACTGCTACGCTTACAGCGGTTGCTGTCCCTGCACTTCTTCTTCCTCCCCCAACGACATCCTTAGATGAGCATCTAGTTGCTGGCCTTCCAGCTCTTGAACCATATGCACGTTTGTTTCATAGGTATTGTTTCTGAGATTACCCTTTCGATTGGGGTTAATTAGTAGTAATCTGTTACTAGTTTTAAGGTTGTGCTTCCTCGAGTTCCTAATTCAGAATTGTTTCTCACTTTCCCGATTTACTGTCAGATATTATGCCATTGCAACTCCAAGTGCTACTCAGAGACTTCTTCTTGGACTCTTAGAAGCACCACCGTCGTGGGCTCCAGATGCACTTGATGCTGCTGTACAGCTTGTAGAACTCCTTCGAGCTGCTGAAGATTATGCATCTGGTGTAAGGGTAAGCGTCATATGAATCCTTTAAATACTCTCCAGAAAGCTAATAGTGTCCCTTCTTCCACACAATGAGATTTGTTGGCTTACAATATGTGGGAGCCTGTCAAATTTCATCGGTCGATAGCATTGGCTCCTAAAAAAAAAAGTCAGCTTTGATATGTCATCAAAAAAATCAGCATTGATCACCCTCTCTTTCTTGGTGTAGCTACCCAGGAACTGGATGCATTTGCACTTCTTGCGGGCAATAGGAATTGCTATGTCTATGAGGGCAGGTGTTGCTGCTGATGCTGCAGCCGCTTTGCTTTTCCGCATACTCTCACAGCCAGCACTGCTTTTTCCTCCGCTAAGTCAAGTTGAGGGAGTAGAAATTCAGCACGCGCCTATTGGTGGCTACAGTTCAAATTACAGGAAACAGGCATGGTTCCTCTTTATTTATTTTTTTGCTGTTCCACCAACTTATCTTTGATATGCGATTGGCATTCTGCTAGAAAATTATATTGAAACTGACTAATTCCACAAGTCTGAATTTTTCAACAGATAGAAGTTCCTGCAGCAGAAGCAACCATTGAAGCCACTGCCCAAGGAATTGCGTCAATGCTTTGTGCTCATGGTCCTGAAGTTGAATGGAGAATTTGCACTATATGGGAAGCTGCTTATGGATTGATCCCTCTAAATTCTTCAGCGGTTGATCTTCCCGAAATTATAGTTGCTACCCCACTGCAACCTCCTATCTTGTCATGGAATCTATACATTCCACTCCTCAAAGTACTTGAATATCTTCCACGGGGGAGTCCTTCAGAAGCATGCTTGATGAAAATATTTGTTGCCACAGTGGAAACAATACTCAGTAGAACCTTTCCGCCTGAATCATCCAGGGAACATACCAGAAAAGCTAGATCGAGTTTTACCACAAGATCAGCGACCAAAAATCTTGTTATGGCTGAGCTTCGTGCTATGGTCCATGCTCTCTTTTTAGAATCATGCGCTGGTGTGGAATTAGCTTCACGCCTACTTTTTGTTGTTTTGACTGTATGTGTTAGCCATGAAGCACAGTCTAGTGGTAGCAAGAGACCGAGAAGTGAATATGCTATCACTACCGAAAATGTTGAGGCGAATCAACCTGTATCTGACAATCAAACTGCTAACCGTAAAAGTAGGAATGTTAAGGGACAGGGACCTGTTGCAGCATTTGATTCATACGTTCTTGCTGCTGTTTGTGCTCTTGCCTGTGAGGTTCAGCTGTATCCTATGATCTCTGGAGGGGGGAGCTTTTCCAATTCTGCCGTGGCTCGAACTATTACAAAGCCTGTAAAGATAAATGGGTCATCTAACGAGTATGGAGCTGGGGTTGACTCGGCAATTAATCATACACGCCGAATTTTGGCAATTCTAGAGGCACTCTTTTCATTAAAACCATCTTCTGTGGGGACTCCATGGAGTTACAGTTCTAGTGAGATAGTTGCTGCGGCCATGGTTGCAGCTCATATTTCCGAACTGTTCAGACGTTCAAAGGCCTTGACGCATGCGTTGTCTGGGTTGATGAGATGTAAGTGGGACAAGGAAATTCATAAAAGAGCATCATCATTGTATAACCTCATTGATGTTCACAGCAAAGTTGTTGCATCCATTGTTGACAAAGCTGAACCCTTAGAAGCCTACCTCAAGAATACACCAGTTCAGAAGGATTCTCTGACCTGTTTAAACTGGAAACAACAGAACACATGTGCAAGCACCACACGCTTTGATACAGCGGTGACATCCGCCTCAAGGACTGAAATGAATCCTAGAGGAAACCATAAGTATGCTAGACATTCAGGTGAAGGCTCAGGGAGACCCTCAGAGAAGGGTATCAAAGATTTCCTCTTGGATGCTTCTGATCTAGCGAATTTCCTCACAGCTGATAGACTCGCAGGGTTCTATTGTGGTACACAAAAGCTTTTAAGGTCAGTGCTTGCAGAGAAACCGGAGCTGTCTTTCTCCGTTGTTTCACTGTTATGGCACAAACTGATTGCTGCTCCTGAAATCCAGCCCACCGCAGAAAGCACCTCTGCGCAACAAGGATGGAGACAGGTAAACCTCAGCATTTCTATTTCCCAGCTCGCTTACAGTTTCCTTGGTAGTCTTTTGGTTCTTCACTAATCCAAGTTCTCAAGGGGCTCGACTTCATTCACTAATCATATTTTTCATATATCAGGTTGTTGATGCGCTATGCAATGTTGTATCTGCAACGCCAGCAAAAGCAGCTGCAGCAGTTGTTCTTCAGGTCCAAATTACTCTGACTTTTTATTTCATTTGTCAGGAATGCCACACGTGTGTAAAGATTAAATTGGGGAAAACCTCTGGATTGTGTTAATGTTATATAATGCTTGGTTCACTCGATCGATCTCTCTTGAATTTATAACAAATTAAGCTGGGAATTTATGTGCAACACTTGTTTTAATATGCCACGGATATATAAGGAAAAAATTATCTTTATAAAATGATGTGTTGTTTCAGGCTTATATGTAGGATTTACTTTAGTGCTCTCTAGTCTGAAATGGTCGTGTGTTATTTACAGGCTGAGAGGGAGTTGCAGCCTTGGATCGCCAAAGATGATGAAGAAGGTCAGAAAATGTGGAAAATCAACCAACGGATAGTCAAAGTGTTGGTGGAACTCATGCGCAATCATGACAGGCCTGAGTCACTGGTGATTCTGGCAAGTGCATCAGATCTTCTTCTGCGGGCAACTGATGGAATGCTTGTTGATGGAGAAGCTTGTACATTACCTCAACTTGAGGTAGTGCACTGTTATAGATTGCTCTACAATGCCTTTCCTCGGGTTAGAGTGAAAATCGGTTTTCTGACTCCACTGTATTTTAAACTTTTGCAGCTACTTGAAGCCACGGCAAGAGCAATACAGCCAGTGCTAGCTTGGGGGCCATCTGGACTAGCAGTTGTCGACGGTTTATCCAATCTATTGAAGGTAAGCATATACAAACAGAGCCTATGGTTTCCTGCGTTGATTGTAGATGATCAGTAGTAGGTTCAAACCAACTCTTAAATAAACTGGGAGTTAAACTCACTCTTAGAAACAATTTGTGGGCGGAAGGAACTTTAGGCTCCTAGACCATCTCTTAGCTTGCATAAGTCGCCATGTTTCCAAATTTTCATGTTCCAAGTTGGTCTTTGGTTTTGATACAACTCTCGCTTAAAAGTCTGGTCCAGTAACCAAAGTGCTTAACCTTTATCCAATTGTGGACAATCGAATCTGGACTGTACTTAACCTTGTTCACATCTGTTTGCTTCTATGCAGTGTCGTCTACCAGCAACAGTACGGTGCCTTTCACACCCAAGTGCACACGTACGTGCCTTAAGCATATCAGTACTACGTGACATCATGAACCAAAGCTCCATACCCATCAAAGTAACTCCAAAACTGCCAACAACAGAGAAGAACGGAATGAACAGCCCGTCCTATCGGTTCTTCAACGCCGCCACAATAGACTGGAAAGCCGATATCCAAAAATGCTTGAACTGGGAAGCTCACAGCTTGCTCTCCACAACTATGCCTACTCAGTTTCTTGACACCGCAGCTCGAGAACTCGGCTGTACTATATCCTTGTCCCAATAACTAGCGCCCGCGCTTTTGTTTTTGGTAATTTTTAGTTCTCTAGACAAAAAATATTTGGACGTAGACCAAGAAGAATATATATATAGCTTGTTGCATGTATGATGAGTGACTGACGCAATCACTCCCACCGGCGTTGGATTTGCCCTCGCTCTCGGGGTCTTATATAACTCAAACCTCTTCTTTGTACATTTTAAATGACGAAGTAGCACAACCTTTTTGTCTTGCTCAGTGGATTCTAAACCGTAATGTATAGTAGTTTCTATTTCAAGTTGTATGGAAAATTTCCATATATACTTATTTTGAAATCATCAAAAATTATTAATATAGCAAAAGAAAAAACATAAAAACAAAATATTGGGATTTTAAAATATTATTAAGGGTAAATTAGTAATTTACTGGAAGAGCTTCATATTAGGTTCGAAAACCCTAAAGGAGTTACGCCGCTTATAACAGACCTGACCTTGTTAAGCTGTGGTGGCGCCTCCAGAGTCTGTGAAAGAGCTTAATCCTTGTATCGCGATCTTTCTCGGCATCCAAAAATGGTACGATCATCGTTCTTCAACTCTCTTCTGTTTCTTCGAATGATTATCTGTTTCTCCAATTGCTCGTTGCTTCATTTTGTGTATCGCTCGTTTTCATTGCTGGTGTTTTGGATTGGATTTGATTTGTTAAGCCTTTCACGATTTGCGACTGACGGATCTAGTTTTGCTCTCGTTTATGTAGTCTCTAGTTGCGAACGAGGAGTTTCAGCATATTTTGCGTGTGCTCAACACTAATGTCGATGGGAAGCAAAAGATTATGTTTGCCTTGACCTCGATCAAGGGTATTGGAAGGCGATTGGCCAACATTGTGTGCAAGAAGGCTGATGTTGACATGAACAAGAGGTTTGTTTCCTTGTTTACTAGCTTGTATCTCAGTACCTCTGTGACTAGAATTGAACCTGCTCGATCTGGTTTGTGTTCTAAGAAATGTGATAGAAGTTAATGGAATTCTTGAAGAAGTTGATTTACTGTCATGTTTTTAATGTTTTTCCTTTGCTGTAATATTCAGGGCTGGAGAACTAAGTGCTGCAGAAATCGACAACCTCATGACAATCGTTGCGAACCCTCGTCAGTTCAAGATCCCAGACTGGTTCTTGAACAGGCAAAAGGATTACAAGGATGGGAAATACTCCCAAGTTGTTTCCAACGCTCTGGACATGAAGCTGAGAGATGATCTTGAGCGTCTCAAGAAGATCAGGTAACAATTAACACACAGTCCTCTGTAGTTTATATATATGCCCACTATAATCTAGCTATAATGGTAAAAGATAAGTACACACTCTTGTGTTAGATCATGTATACTTGAAATAGTAAAAGGTATGCTCATTTCTGATAACAAAAACCCAATCTGTAGTAAAATGAAACTGGTGCAGTCTTTGTTTCTTCTCTCTTGTTGTTCTTATATTGATACTGGCTGCAATCAATTGAACTTTGTTAGTACTGACTGTGGTTATCACTCTAATGTAAACAGGAACCATCGTGGTCTGAGGCACTACTGGGGTCTCCGTGTACGTGGACAGCACACCAAAACCACCGGACGCCGTGGAAAGACTGTTGGTGTCTCTAAGAAGCGTTAAAAAAGAGTTGGTTCGTGTTGCACGACGAGCTTGGTTCAATGGCTTTGCTTTGTTTTGTATTGTTTTTTGCAGAAGAGATAGTTTAAGCAATGTTGTTTCATCAAAAGACGGTCTTAGCTTTTACAATATATAATTGAATCCAAAAACTATGTTGTTCCTAGTCTTTTTGTTACATTCTCTTAAAATCTGCTTGAAACAAAGTAATAATACAAAATCCTCAATTCCATACAAAGAATTTATAATCGAGAAATCAGATAGTGTGGCACAAGGGGCTGTCGCTGTCATGTGCAAATACATCGTTATCAGTTTAATCACTATCAGTAACTTTAAACACTAAAACTAATTATCATTTTTTTTTTTGCCATTCAAAACTAATTATCATTTTCAATTTTTTTCTCACTTCTTCTTCATCACTTGTTCTCTCTCTCTCTCATCGCCTATACGCGAGAGAAAAGTAACGATCTCAACCGCCGGCGCTGACCAAAGCTATCGATTCTCTTCCCGAGCTGATCCCTCAGGTGAATTTTCCTCCCGTAGATTCACTTTTTTTTTTTTCCAGCGAGTTTTCCCGAGAAAAACCATCAAAAAGTAGTAGCGAGGACGAACTTTGAATTGAGATCGTAATCTTTCGGTGGCTTGAAGTAGCTTATGCATGTTCAAACTCTTCTTCAGTTGTTTGCTCATGATTCGAAAATGGCTTTATAGATCTTCTCTTTATCAATTCACTAGTATTCTACATCTAATAAAACTTACAGTTACAGATCCAATCTCATTTCGTTTCCTTCTACTATCTATCTCTGTTACGATTTTTTTTTTTTTTTTTCTCTCTTTTAGCGTTTTAGATCTCCTCCATGATTGAGTTTAAGTGATCCATGTATGAAGATCATCTGAACTATTTTTTTCACTTGAGTGGTTTCAGTCAATTTAGCAAGTAAGATGTTGTATGTGTCAATGCTATAACTGTGAATTTTCAGCTATTGTAGTTTGATTTGTCTTTGTTAGCTTCAGGTTTCTTGAATCTGAGTCTGTCAAAACCATACTATATTTGGTGCTCGGTGGTGAGCAAGAAGGGGGACATTGTCAGGGTTTCAATGTACGCCAGATGAATAGACCAACTAATGTTACTGGCAGTAGAAGGAGGGGGTTTATTCTCAGCGTCTGCGTCTGGGTATAGTAAGGGATTGACCCTTCTTTTCTCTGGTGATAAAGACGGAGATAGGCCCATGAGAGTTGTGCCGTGGAATCACTACCAGGTGGTTGACCAAGAGGCTGACCCTGTTCTTCAGCTGGATTCTATCAAGAACCGAGTTTCCCGCGGTTGCGCTGCTTCCTTCAGTTGTTTTGGTGGCGCTTCCGCGGGACTTGAGACCCCATCTCCTCTTAAAGTAGAACCTGTGCAGCAGCATCGTGAAATATCATCACCAGAGTCTGCTGTTGTTGTTGTTTCTGAAAAGGGCAAAGACCAAATAACTGAAGCTGATAATGGCAGCAGCAAAGAAGCTTTCAAGCTCTCATTGAGGAGTAGCTTGAAGAGGCCGTCTGTTGCGGAATCACGGTCTCTTGAGGATATAAAAGAATACGAGACGTTGACTGTGGATGGTAGCGATCTCACTGGTGACATGGCAAGGCGGAAAGTTCAGTGGCCTGATGCTTGTGGTAGTGAACTCACTCAAGTTAGAGAATTTGAGCCGAGGTATGTGATGTGTTTACCTCTTATTGACCAGCTTAAATCCCAATATAAGTTAGTTTAAGTAGATCCATTGTATTATGCAAATAGGATCCTTAATGTGAATCTTGAGCTTACATAATTAGATCCATGGTTTTATGCAAATAAGATCCTCAATGTGAGTCTTGTGCTCCTATGCCTCAAAATGGAAATCCTTCAATTCATTCAGAGTTTCACTTCATATGTGCTTAGAACCGCGAAAACTCAATACATCTGTTACGCATCTTTGTTTTTGCAGAGACATTTTAGCTTTGTTTCCTTTCCTTTGCGATCCTCCCTCGGTTTGTTAATGACATACAAGAAACAAACTTGATTTTGGTTGCAGTGAGATGGGATTATCAGATGAAGAATGGGAGGTAGGACGACAAAGAACATGTTCGTGTGTGATCATGTAAATTCAGAAATCATCGGTATCACTCTTTACTCACCTCTTGTGTGCATTTCTCATAGATTTAAAGTGTATCTGTTATTACAAAGTTCTCTTCAAGGTTTTGGCTTGTACATTATTCCCAGTGTTTTGAGTGGCAACTTATTCCTGGTTTCTATTTTCTAAAAACGATAAGAGAACATCTAAATCGATGCAAAGAGGAAGAGAGTGGCAATAACTCTTGTTCTTGTAGCCATCTCAACTACATGACGTGCGTGTACAAAACTAGAATGCAAACAAAATTGACTTGCGTTATATACTTATTCCACTAACTGTAAAGCGAATTCGCAACGATCCACCATATTTGTTCACATTGTCCTTGGTGAACTAATCAATCATGTAAACATTTAATGGACTTTACGAAGAGTCTGGAGTCCTCTGTTATATGAATTGCTTACCAGCTTCTATACCATAGCGTTTCTGGTTGCAAGTACTTACTTAACCATCTTGCCAGAGAAAGTTGACAATCTGATGACAACATAGGGTTAAAATGTAAAATTAAAAACAATAAGGGAGAAATTATGGAATACAGATAAACATTAGGGATCAAAATGAAAGAGGACCAGAAAGAGAAATCTACCGTCTCTTCTTCAAACCAAACCCAGAACCCCCGTCCGACGTTTTCCCGGTGAAGATAGAGATGCGGAGGATCAATTCACTGTACGGAAGAATTGGTATGCTTAGGAGAGTACCCGAAGAATCTACGAAGAAATCTCATACATTGCTCGCCTCTCTCTCCTTCTCTACGGAAGGTAGTTATGGCGGTGACGGTGAGCTTCAGCAGAACAGCTCCAAAGTCAAGATCTTTGATCGAGATCTCAAGCGAATACATGTGTAGTGTTCGAATTCATCTCTACATTTTCCTCTCTTTTTTTTGTTAACCCAGTTTACAAATTCCTTGTCTCTGATTTACAATTTCTGTGTTCGATTGAAGCGTGATCGAGCGGCGTGGCTTTCTCGCCAAAAAAACGATTCTTTTGTTGACGCTGTTGCAGAGAATCTACTTGACCGCTTAGAGGTACTCTTTTGTTTGATGCATGATCGCCATTCAGAGAGTAGAGAGCTCTATTTAGTAAATCTTGTTTTTGCTCTTTGTTAGGATTGTAAGAAGAGTTTTCCCACTGCATTTTGTTTGGGAGGATCTCTTGGTGCTGTTAAGCGATTACTACGTGGTCGCGGTTAGTTATCTCTCTCTTGACAAGAGTCATGGTTTAGATTTATTTCCATCTGTATTTTGAATGTTGATGATGATGATTTTGTTGCACAGGTGGGATTGAGAAGCTTATCATGATGGATACTTCATATGACATGATTAAATCATGTAGAGATGCTCAAGAGGATTCACTCGATAACTCCATTGAAACATCTTATTTTGTTGGTGATGAAGAGTTTCTGCCAGTCAAAGAGAGGTAACAAGGACTATATTGTAAAATTCGTTTTTTTCGCCTAGCCGCCACTTACTAGAGTTCTATACTTACTAACATATGGTCAAATGTTGTATGTGAAGTTCGGTTGATTTGATCATAAGTTCGTTGGGGCTTCATTGGACAAATGATCTTCCTGGTTCCATGATACAGGTTTTCCCTTTTTGTTTGCCTTTGTTGGTGTATGTGAATTGGTTTGTCCTCTGAGTAAATATTCATAATGTGTTGGTTTTGGATTGTGATAACTGCAGTGCAAACTAGCGCTGAAGCCTGATGGCCTATTTTTAGCAGCAATTCTTGGCGGAGAAACCTTAAAGTTTGTCCTGTCTTTCATCTCGACTCAATATTGAATCTCTATCTGATATCGTTTTTCTTATGAGCCTTTATGAATTGAATTTATTTATAAGGGAGTTGAGAATAGCATGCACTTTGGCTCACATGGAGCGAGAAGGAGGTATTAGTCCCCGGCTATCACCTTTGGCACAGGTGTGTGTGAATATCGTAGCAAGTTCACTTAATTTTCTTTCAAAGCTTGAAAATAGCAGAAATTGCAGTTTGTAGATGACAGAACCAAAAGGCTGATTTATAGTGAAAGAAAATGGCTTCTCTTTCTTTCAGGTTAGGGACGCAGGGAATCTCTTAACCAGGGCGGGTTTTAGTCTTCCTGGTGTTGACGTTGATGAATATGTAGTCAAATACAAGAGTGGTAAACTGTTCCACTTTTTTCTACTTCATCGTTGGCGAAAACGTGTATCCTCCAATAATTATTTTTGACTTGCCTCTTCGTTTATATCTTTCTACTCAGCGATGGATCTTATAGAGCATCTTCGTGCGATGGGTGAAACCAATGCTCTTCTCGAGAGAAACAAGGCTGGTTTCTTCTTGTGTCAGAATTTTTCACAATTATGACTACTATATACATTTGCTAAACTAAAATGACTTGAAAAACAGATTTTGAATCGCGAAACTGCTCTGGCCACGGCAGCCATATATGACTCCATGTTTGCCACAGAGGACGGCACTATACCTGCTACTTTTCAGGTCTGTCAATAGAATTTCAGAACTAACTCAACCTAGCTTCACTATTCAAGTTGATTTGCTACAATCCATGCAGTTGACAACATGTGAGGCCTTAAAGTATATCGTTTGACATTCCTGTGTAGGTAATTTACATGACAGGATGGAGAGAACATTCGTCTCACCCGCAGGCCAAACGAAGAGGTTCAGCCACCGTATCCTTCACTGATCTCCAGAAGCAATTTGGCGGTCAATCCTGATGGAATGATTAAAGAGGAGAACACATTCAATAAACAGAGACTTTACAATGAGACTCGAGAGAAATCAGTGACTTATCTATAAAATACTGTGAGGAACTCATTCACTGGGCGAAAGCATCGCAATCATGACAAATGCTTTCACCCAATAATGTAATAGCTGATCAGAAGCATGTTTGTATTTTACAAAAATAGTTTGAATACTTAAACTCAATCTTCAATCACGAAACATTATCTCGCGCGAGGCCTCTTTAATAGATTCGTATACAATGGACCAAACTTCACTAAAACATTAATCAAAACCTTATACGTATATTCACAACCATTTGATTGTGTTTTGTGGTGCGTAATCTTGTTTTGAGTAAGATTAGGTACCTAACACTTGTTTTAGTGCTACCTAATCTTACTCAAAACAAGATCAAACGTGATCGTGACCGTCCAGATAATCATACACTGAAATATTCAACGGCTCCATTTCCACAGCTCCATTCACACAATACGTCGTCGTATCACCACACCCAGAATTTCCCGACACAAAACCACCGTTACTGTGAACGATCCCGGCGTCGATGGCCATTCCGGCATTAGAAGCAGCTTGCTGGATAGACCTCGGCGAAGTTTTGGAAACGATTGAAGGATTAAGCAAATGAGGAAAATTGAGAGATTCTAACGAATCAGGTTGGTGTAAACAGAAGAAAGCAACGTCGTGTGCTACGGCGGCGCCTTCGGCGGTTGAGAATGAACCTAACCAGAGACGATCACGAGTTCCCGGAACTCGAATCTCCGATACCCATTTGCCCCATTTCCGACGACGGATTCCTTTGTACTTTGACTGAGTTTCACCGGCGTCTCTGTAATCCATTTTTTGTATGATCGATGCGAAGAAGAAACTTTTGAGTGTTGTTTATGTTTGAATCTGAAGATACGAGACTATTTATACGTTGAAGTTTAACGAAAGTCAAATCATAAGATATAGTATTTTTAATATGAATCATGAATGAGAATGTGGTTGACCAATTATAAATATAGTTTTTTAATTATCGAAGAAAAAATCAACTGGTCAAAGTGGTATCAATTTGACATGTGCCTTACTGACTGGTCAATTTTTCTTTACAAGTTGTAATTTTTGGATTTTGGCTAGTAAATTCAATGTATTTGAAAAGTTAACAGTCATTTTTTATAAAACAAGTGGTATATATAATATACCGTTCTGTTTGGTTTCAATATGAATGATGTCATGTGTTTATTTACTTATTTTGAATGTAAAAAAATTAATCATATTTTATTTATTCAAAAAGGTGAATTTATAGTTTTTCACCTTTTTGTTTTTTGATATTCAAAAAGTTGTAAGTCATAATCTATAGTTTTTATAAGTTGAAGATAAGAGCGGAGTTATTTTATTTTAATTTTTTGTTGTCGAGATTCAACATGACATCTCTGTCATTTTTTAATCTCAAAACGTTTATACTGAGACTATCAGTTCCGGTTAATTTTTTACGTTTTTTTTTGTAGTAATAGTTATGCATTTGACCAAAACATAATGTGAAAGTGAAGAGTATGAGTATAAAATAAATCATTAGAAATTAATTAAATAAATTAAGAAAACATATGTATAAATGTGTACTTAGATACTGTTAAGTGTTTAACTCGTTGTAATAATAAAGAGAAAAGCAGTGGAAAAAAAATAAAATAAAAAGTCGATTCAAACTCCACCGATGAAGAAGAATGTGAAAACGTCGTCATCTAAGGTTAAACCACGTGGGATAAAGAAAAAAACAACAAAGACTTTCTTTGCCTTTTTTGGGTACAAATTGCGTCATGCGTTACGTGAGCACCGTCTAAAGCGGGTCCTTTAATTTGTTTTTTTGGTATTTGACCAAAACCTGTAATGAGACTGTCCACGGGTACTACACACATACAACAGCCCAAACTAGTTGGAAAAAGTTGTTTTTTGTCTTCTTCTGTGTCTTTAATATTGCTGACTCAGAGACATGGTTGTCGAATATTAGTTCACACACAACCACATCCAAAACACGAATCATCCACGGAGAAACCCAGGCCCATCATGTATTTAATGTGATGCATAACCAATTCTTTATACTTGATTAGGTTTGCGTTTACACAGACAAAGGTACTTACTTCAAGTTTAGGGTGTTATTAGAGTTTTTACTAGGTATTTTGAACACCCTAGTTTTTTTTTTTTTTTGCTAGATTTTGAACACCCTAGTTTATTAGAGTTTTTTACTAGGTATTTTGAACACCCTGGTTTAAAAAAAAAAAAAAAATCTACGCGATTTGCAGTTTAATTGTTTATAAAATAAAATTAATGTAATAGTATATTAATATCAATTCATAACTCATTTATTATAGAGAAATTCCTAAAAATAGCCTTAAAACAAGTTTTATTGACAATAATAGCACACACTCCATAAACTTCCAAAAATAGCACTAGTTAAGTTACTATTAGTTCTAAAACTTTTATTACTAGTTTATTTTTTCAATAATACCACAATTTTAATATAAAAGCTATTCAACAAAATAAATTAGAAATAAATTTAAAATATTATATTTGGGTTCTCTATTTCCAATTTAGGGTATATATTTCCACCATTTAAAAGAGATTTTGATTCATTTTAATATTAGTTTATGGTATTATATTTGGGTTCCCTATTTCCAATTTAGGGTATATATTTCCACCATTTAAAAAAGATTTTTATTTTAATATTAGTTTGTGGTATTATATTTGGGTTCCCTATTTCCAAATTAGGATATATATTTCCACTATTTAAAAACAATTTTGATTCAATTTAATATTAGAGTAGTGTTTGCTCTCTTTTTTATTTTCTATCTTATATTTTCATTAAGTTAAATTGAAGTTTATGGTGCTATTTATGGAACTTTTTAAATGAGGTGCTAGTTTTGGAAAAAACAACTTTTTGGGGGCTATTTGTGTCAATCTCCCATTATTATATATGTTCTAAGAAAAACTAATAACTGCATATATGTTCAGAGTATTTTTGTTTTAACATAGGTAATTGTAATTTTACCCAAAAAAAAAAAGAAGGTAATTAGTAACATTTTGAAAAAACCGTAACTTTACCTTTTTTAGTCAGATTCTTTTTTTTCCCTCGCAAAAATATGTCTATCGCTAGAGTTTAGTGGGCCAATATGGGTTACAAATCAAATGGGTCTGGGAGTGGACAAATCTAAACAATGGGCCCAAATGATTTGAGCACATATCAGCAGCAAACGGAGTCTCTTTCTTCTTCTTTCTACAAAACCTTCACGCGCGGCTTCTCCTACTGTCGCTTCGTCCGGTTCTGTCGGTGCTGTCTCCGAATCACTGTCTTTTTTTCTTTTTTCTTCCTATACGAGTTCTGTCTCGTCTCTTCTATGTTTCACTAGATGTACTCATACTTCCATGTTAAGCCTGTTAATGGTATGTTTAGCCCACCACATGTTCGATGAAATGCCTCAAGGAAACTTTTTATGTTCTTTCTCACCTTTCTTCCTTTGATTTTCAGACGGAGAAGCGAAATTGGATTAACTTTCGCTTTCATGGATCAAACTAGTGTTGGAACAATAATCAAAACCCATTCTTTGTTGCCATCATATGCAGCTTACTGTATATGCCGTCTTCTCCTTCTCGCTCTATACTTAGAGGTCTCACTGTATCCGAAATTCGCAAGTTTATTCCTCAATCTTGGAAACAGCCACCGAGACCCATCTCTGAAACTCCCAAAACCCATGATGAATCAGTTCCACAAGTTCTTTTCGAATCATTTAGACATTGCATTGCCCATGGTCAATTTTATGAAGCTTTCAGAACTTTCTCTCTACTTCGTTACCAGTCTGGTTCTCATGAATTCGTTTTGTATTCAGCAGCTTCTCTTTTATCTACCTGTGTGGGTTTTAGTGAGTTTGTTCCTGGGCAGCAAATTCATGCTCATTGTATCTCGTCGGGTTTGGAGTTTGACCCTGTTTTGGTCCCAAAGTTGGTTACTTTCTACTCTGCTTTTAATCTTCTTGACGAAGCTCAGACCATTACTGAGAACTCTGACATTTTGCATCCCTTGCCGTGGAATGTGCTTATTGATTCGTATGTTAGGAATAAACGGTTTGAAGAGTCGGTTTCTGTTTACAAGCGAATGATGAGTAAAGGAATTCAACCGGATGAATTCACTTATCCGTCTGTTCTCAAAGCTTGTGGAGCATTACTGGATTTTGCATATGGGAGAGTGGTTCATGGCTCTGTTGAGGTTAGCTCTCACAGGTGCAGCTTGTATGTCTGCAATGCGTTGATATCTATGTATAAAAGATTTGGTAAAGTGGATGTTGCTCGGAAATTGTTTGACAGGATGTCTGAAAGGGATGCTGTCTCATGGAATTCCGTAATTAACTGTATACTTCTGAAGGACTTCGAGAAGCTTTTAAGCTTTTTGATATTAAGTACTCTCTGGTGTCGAAGCGAGTATTGTAACTTGGAACACATTAGCTGGAGGTTGTTTGCAGACAGGAAATTACATAGGGGCTTTGAATTGTGTTGTTGGGATGAGAAATTGCAATGTAAGATTAGATTCTGTAGCTATGATTAATGGTTTAAAGGCATGCTCACACATTGGAGCGTTACAGTGGGGAAAAGTATTTCATTGCTTTGTGATCCGTAGTTGTTGCCATGAAATTGACAATGTTCGAAATTCGTTGATCACAATGTACTCAAGATGCAGCGATCTTAGGCACGCCTTTATAGTGTTTCAGCAGATTGAAGCAAATAGTTTGAGTACATGGAATTCTATCATTTCCGGTTATGCACACAACGAGAGATCAGAAGAAACCTCTTTCCTGCTCAAGGAGATGTTGCTATCTGGCTTTCACCCAAATTACATTACACTTGCTAGCATTCTCCCTCTTTGTGCTCGGGTGGCAAACCTGCAACACGGGAAAGAGTTTCACTGCTACATCCTGAGGCGCCAAAGCTACAAGGACTGTTTAATCCTGTGGAACTCCCTTGTCGATATGTATGCAAAATCTGGGGAAATCATAGCTGCAAAGCGAGTATTTGATTCGATGAGCAAGAGGGACAAAGTGACATACACTTCCTTGATAGATGGATATGGCAGGCTGGGTAAAGGAGAAGTCTCCTTGGCATGGTTCAAGGATATGAACAGATCCGGTATCAAACCTGATCATGTAACTTTGGTTGCTGTTTTATCAGCTTGCAGCCATTCCAATTTAGTGCCTGAAGGACACAGGTTGTTTACGAAGATGGAGACTGGGTTTGGTATACGCCCTCGCCTTGAACACTATTCTTGTATGGTTGATCTTTATTGCAGAGTAGGTGACCTGGCTGAAGCCAGGAAGATATTCCGCAAAATACCTTGCGAGCCAACAAGTGCCATGTGTGCTACTATACTGAAAGCGTGCCTCATCCACGGGAACACAGACATTGGTATATGGGCTGCAGATAAGCTACTACTGGAGACGAAGCCAGAACACTTAGGGCACTATATGTTGCTTGCAGATATGTATGCAGTTACTGGTTCTTGGAACAAGCTTGTAACGGTGAAGACTTTCCTGAGTGACTTGGGTGTGCAAAAGGCTCATGAGTTTGCTTTGATGGAAACAGATTCCGGGTTAGATGAAGAGATTAATAAGCCGATGATCGATTCTGCCGTTAATCAAGAGCAAAGTTCAGATGAAGAACGTCTTGTAGAAGTAGGATAAAGAATCAAAGACTGATAGAAGAATGTTTTATTATTCACTGCTTCAAAATAATCAAACTTGAGCACCGATTTTTTTTACTGTACATTAATCCTATATTAATTCAACCATGTTTGAACAGAGCAAAAACAAGTTTTACTTGCATGATTTCTCAAATGCAATCGAATTTTGTTAATCAAGAACTAAAGATGAACCTAAATAGTAGTCACTGAATTTGAGCCCATTAAGGCCCATTAAGGCCCATTAAGATTGGAAACACTGATTTTTAATAGAGGTCAGAGAAACCCTAAGAAACTTCCGCAAGCTCCAAAGAAACGAGAGTTCCGTAATCATTTTCTCTTGTTGTTCCTGATCGCGTTGCTCAAGCGAAAAAATGGCGTCGTTTGATGAAGCACCACCAGGAAACGCCAAAGCCGGTGAGAAGATCTTCAGGACCAAGTGTGCTCAGTGTCACACCGTCGAACAAGGCGCCGGTCACAAACAAGGTTATTCATCGATCTCTGGCTCTTGAGTTCTATTTCTATGGTTGATCTTCCTATTTCTTCAGATTTAGGAACCGATTGTTCTTGTTAATCAATGATCATAGATCCGATCCAAAAACCTTGATATTTCCCTTATGCCTTACTTGTGCGACGAATTCCTGGGTTGTTTTGTGGAATGTTATATTCGAATCCTAAGTAGTGACACAAGAATTTGATCACAGATCAGCGTTTCCTTGAACTTGCTTGAAATGAGAAAACATTTGGTTGTTTTTATATTTTATAGGACCAAATCTAAACGGTCTCTTTGGAAGACAATCTGGTACAACTGCTGGTTACTCTTACTCTGCTGCTAACAAGAACAAAGCTGTCGACTGGGAAGAGAAGACCTTGTATGATTACTTGCTCAACCCCAAGAAGGTATGTATAATCATGTCTTGATTCATTCTCTGATTGTTTCATGAGTTGTTGTTAACATTGAGATTGATGGCCAATTTATGATATGATGCAGTACATACCAGGTACAAAGATGGTGTTCCCTGGGCTAAAGAAGCCGCAAGACCGCGCTGATCTCATTGCGTACTTGAAGGAATCTACTGGGCCTAAGTGATTCTAATGGTGGATTCTGAGTTGTTGAGTCTCTCAGATGGGTACTTTTTTACTTTGCTATATTCTTTTGACAAATAAAATCTCAAACTTTCTTTTGTTATCATCAATTACGTTCTTGGTGGGAATTTGGCTGTAATGTGTGCTGAGTCTCACTTTTGAGTACATTTGATTTTCTGAGGCTCACTTTCCTTTTTCTGTCTAGAAGCATTTTCTCACATATTGCAGCTTAATTTTAAAGAACAAAAAAGATTCAAAATTATATATCAACTATGAACAATAATAATGGAACAATATTAATGTCATCATAATAATGGAATAATAATAATGGTACATGATATGATACTCTGTTAAGGTTTTTTACAAATCCTAGAGAATCAAAAACCGTATCCATTTGCCGGTTTTTCTTAGTTTGCATCTCTCTCTACTTATCATCATCATCAATATCCTTTATAGCATCCTGCAACACCCAACAAGTATAAATAAGATCCCTGTTAAGTTCCTTTTATGCATGGGATCAAATGAGAGGACTTTTGTGTTACAATGCTTAGAACCAATTGGTCTGGAGGTAAAGATAACAGATAACGCAGACCAGAGAAAAGAAAGCAAAACTACCAATGAATTTGAGTTTACCTTTGCAAGGCCTGTCACATATGTTGCAGCCAATGCAGTAACCAGCAGACCTACCCCGAGCGTTAAGAGCTGGCCATTTCCTCCAGGCAAGCCAACATTAGATTCTTCTTGCTGGAACAACATAGATAGAAGATTGTCATTTGATGGTTGTATTATACTTGCCAGAATCACCATGTATTCACTATTCAACAGATATCAGACACAATTTCCTCAATTCAAGTTAACTTCCATAAGTTGATTAGCCTCCCTCGTATTGAGTACTTGTTTACCATTCAATATCGATCTCCTTTTCATTACGTCAAAAACAAAAATTTTAGCTGTGATCCCACAGCTTGATGATTTTAGCTAGCTTTCTACCCTAGATAAGTGCTGATCAACATGGAATTACTGTACACCATAGGCTTGACATGAGAAGTTAGGCATGTTTTTGTGCAGTTCATTCTTTTTTTGTCAAAGTGATGATACATAGATTAGATTACAGACAACAAAACTCACAATGATTGCTCGTCCAAAAGCCCCGGCACTGACATAAGCCCAAGAGCCTGGAAGCATACCCAACCAGCTGCAAAAACAGTATGATCCATGAATGAGTATGTAAACTCAGACTATAGCTTATCAAGTTGAAATCTTGTTCTCAAATGCAAAACAAATTGAAGTAACTCCTGGTCAAGATTGCTTCAGAGTAAACACCAAGTGGACATTAAGTGATGGGAACTAGTAAGATTCTTAAATAACCTCAACTCAAGTATCAAGCTTCTACAGTAGATATCATAGGGAAATAGTATATAATGTTGCAATAACACAGACCTTCCTAATACATAAGGCACAAACTTCACAGATGTCAATCCGTACAGGTAATTGCCAAGAGAGAAAGGAAGTAGAGGGCTTAGCCGAAGCAGAGTAACAACTCTAAACCCATTTTCACCAATTGCTTTATCAATGGCGAGGAACTTCTTGTTGTCTTCAACTAACTTAAGTATTCGCTCTCGGGCAAAGTATCTGGCAATTAAGAAAGCAACACTAGCAGCCATCTAACACCGGAGTAAAAACAAAATTAGAAAACCAAAAAAACATATATCAACATGGGAAGGTCACTTGATGACGTTAAGGATATTGAGTTTCATGTGTTCCAGGGAAGAATAACTTACTGTTCCACTGATAGAAACTATGATGGTGCCAATGAGTGGACCGAAGAGAAGACCAGCCGACATCGTCAATGGGAGAGCCGGAATGGCTAATATCTAACACAAAAAGGAAAAACAAAACCAAAAACTTGAAGGTCTCAATGAAAATCAAAAGTCACATGGAGCAAAAAACAAAAACACATGAAAGAGTATGAAAAAGCTTGCCTCAAGGCCAGCATAAACGGCAATGAACAAAGCATACCCAGCCGTACCATAACCTGTTGTTTGATTCAAGAACACAAAACTCTAATCAACTTCTGAAATTGATCAAAAACTTATCCTAAATGCATCATCAAATATCTAAAGTTCCATTCTTTCTGAGTTCAAATACGACTAGAAGCTAAACAGTAATAGAATCAATCAACAATTCAACGTATCAAATCGAACCTTCGATGTAAGTGGAGAATTGAGTGAGGAACGTATTAATCTGATCCCTATAGACATATCCAACGCCGGCGAATCCACCAACAGTACCAATCAACAAAACCCCGGCTAATATAGTACCCTGAATAGCAGCATCACCTTCCGATCCGCCACCGTCATCGCTCTCAGACTTAGCATCATCTTCGTCGTTATCATCATCACTGGATTTGGGATTGAAGAACCACCGGAGACTCTGAGGAGGCGGGGCGGTGGATGGGAGAGACTGTTGCTTCTTCTTCTTGGTTTGCTTGAGGGAAGAACATGGTTTAAGGAAATGAAATCGCCTGTAGAGTCTAGAAGAAGAAGGAGGAGAGAAGAAGCGGAAGTTGCAGGTGAATGGAAGAGATGAGGAGGAGGAGGATCTGAGAGTCAGACCCAGAGTAGTGAGGCTGCGCATTTTTAAGCAGCTTTAATGGAGATGATGATGAAGATTGGCTTGAAGCAGTACCATCTGAGTTTCTTCTTCTTCTTCTTCTTCTTCAGTTTTGGGCTTTTGGATTGGCGCGGCTTTGTTCTAGCGAAGTATCGTATTTTCGGATGGGCTTCTGGCGATCTAGAGCGCCACGTGTCTCTCTGTTCTTAGGATCACGAAATTATAATTTACTAGTTTCTTCCAGAAAAACACTACAGAAAAAAAAAAAAAAAATACAATTTCATAACAAATTTAATAATTCTATGCGAATATTCGCATCCAATTTTTTTGGACATATAAAATTATAAATTCAGAAACAAAACAAAAAATTATGAAAGAAAATTTTAAGGAACTTTGATTTGTTTAAGTTAGGACAGAATTTAACTTGATTGAAAATTACTGTAGTTTTTGGCTAAAAAAAAAAAAAAAAGGATTTTGGTCTAATGTGACATATACTGTAGCAAAACTTACAGAAATTGCCACAAAACATTTGTCTTTCTAAATATGCCATAATGGTGGACAAGTCATTGAAACGAAAATTTTTGTTAGACAAGAAATGTTGTTCACCTTTGAAACAACAGATTAGGAAGATATTTGGTGGACAAAAAATCTTGTCCACCTTTGAAACAACAGACTTTTGGTGGACAATAATTCGAAACGACATACAAAAATTTTGGTAGACAAGAAATGTTGTCCACCATTATGACACATTTGGAAAGATTTATGTTTTGTAGCAATTTTGCTAAGTTTTTGAACAGTAAGTGGCAAATTAGTTAGATTTAACCACAACTATTATTGCTTGACGACGCCGTTTCATCCTTTATGAAAAAGATTTTTTAAACGACAGCGTTTCTTGTTTGATAATCTGTAATGTTCCAAGTCAAAATGGGAACTCGAACGTGTCTGACTCTTCTTTGGCTTTACCGGTAAGCTACACTGATCGCCGGGGTTTTTCAATTCGCCGTCTCTCTTCTACTTTATTCCGGTCACTACCATTGTACATCGTATACTTGGTTCAGGTCATGTCCAAATCTCGGGCAGTTGTGGAGCTCACTGCTCGTTTCGATCTTGGCGGCGACGATAAGATCCGAGCTTTATCTCTCTCACCTATCTCCGATTCCCAAACCCTAGTATACCTCGGAACCTCCTCCGGATCTCTGATTCTCCTCTCTCTCGACACTTTAACTAATATCGTCTCCCGTCTCGGGAGTGTATCGCTGAGCGCTTCCCCTGTTGAGTCTATCTTTGTGCTTGGAGAGGAAAGAGGGAAAGTTTTAGCACTCTGCAATGGCTACTTGTTCTTGATGGATTCGCTTCTTTCTCAACCAACTAAGAGATTGGGTGGTGTATTGAAAGGAATCAATGTGGTTGCAAGGAGAGTGAGAGGACGTGATTCGTCGAGTACTGACTTGTTGCCTTCTGAGATTTCGACGGATTCTAGCTCGAGTAAGAAGTTTCTTCAGTTGCTTGGTGCTGGGAATCTGGTGAATGATGTTAAAGGTAAGGACTTTCCACATGACAGAGTCCATCAAGGTCATTATGTTTTCGCTGTTGCTATTGGTGAGAGAATGTTGTTGATTGAACTTCAATGTGATGAAAAAGAAGGGTTATCTTCTTCTTTTGTTGTTTTGAAAGAGATTCTGGGGATTGGTGGGATCAAAACTTTGGTTTGGCTTGATGATTATGTTATTGCGGGTACTGTTAAAGGTTATAGTTTGATCTCGTGTGTTACTGGTCAAAGTGGGGTGATTTTTACATTGCCTGATGTGTCTGGTCCCCCGCTGCTTAAATTGCTTTGTAAAGAGTGGAAAGTGTTGTTGTTGGTGGATAATGTTGGAGTTGTTGTGGACACAAATGGTCAGCCTATTGGAGGGAGCCTTGTGTTTCAGAGGAGGCCTGATTCTGTTGGAGAATTGTCTTTCTATTTGGTGACTGTCGGAGATGGGAAAATGGAAATACATCAGAAGAAGTCTGGTGCTTGTGTTCAATCAGTTAGTTTTGGTCCTCAAGGATGTGGGCCTTCACTTTTGGCCGCAGATGAGGCAGGAGACGGAAACCTTTTGGCTGTCACTACCTTGTCAAAGGTGTTTATCCCGATAATGGCTATCTTCATTTCTTTGGAGTCTATCTTGTTGATCAAACAGTCATGAATTTTCTGTTGATTCTTTCATTGTGGTGTTTCAGCTTATTTTTTATCGGAGAGTGCCTTACGAAGAACAGATTAAAGACCTCTTGAGGAAAAAGAGATACAGAGAAGCCATCTCCTTGGTGGAGGAACTTGACTCACAGGGGGAAATTTCGAAAGACATGCTTTCGTTTCTTCATGCTCAAATAGGGTATCTACTGCTTTTTGATTTGCGCTTTGAGGAAGCTGTGAATCAATTTTTGAAGTCAGAAGAAATGGAACCTTCTGAAGTTTTTCCTTTTATCATGCGGGATCCTAATCGCTGGTCTTTGGTGGTATAATTTTTTTTCCCTGGCAGCTGGTTTTTAGTTATGTACTCTAATTTGTTTCTAAAAATTGACTGCTTAATCAACCACAGTTCATTATTTTTCTTACTAAAGGCA